TGTTACCAATGAGCACCTTTCTGCTGCCCTCCAATCCCCGGCTTTGACAGTGGGCGGGCGATCTTCTCTCCACACCCGCTGTCACAATTTAAAAAGAACATGGCCATTCGTGGCTCCGCCTACACAGCCACATCATTCATTAACAATGATCTGTGAATGAATGAACTACAGCTACTGTCTGCCACTGTGGCTGACGGCTTACAGTTCTTAATGAACTGGGAGGGTGCTGGTGAGGGCTCTCGTAGTTCATTGATCATCCTGCTCTCCATATACCTACCTGCCCATACCTCCTATACAGGAGGTACAGGCAGACAGCTATGTATGCTAAGAATCTGCAGGAGCCTGACATTGCACCCGTGATCTGAAATGCTCTGCAGGATCCAGAAAAAAAAAAAAATAAATGCACATTTTTTTACCTGCAAAAATATGTACTTTTTTCTTTTAAGGCAAACTTTGCATTCAATTGTACCTAAGCAGTTTTCTACAAAATATATCTTTTTGTCTTCAATTCCTACTGAAAAAAAGCCCCTACTGATATGTGAATGTGCCTGGGCACTCCTATGTCTACAGCCTCATTGCTGTATATGTGCAGTGTGAGATCTAAGGCACTGTTGCCTCTGACTGATAGTCTCAGGAAATTTGGAGTGACATTTGGTGATGTCATTACTGTGTAACTAACTGTTCTCCTTGCTGGAGGTTTTGACATGAGCAGCAAAGACCTGCCTCTACCAAATTAGCTGCTTCCACATAGAGAATCAGAGAGTGCAGAACAAGTCAGTAATAGGAAAAGATCAGCAACCAGGAGACCTCAGACAGACTTGGCCCCTGCTTTTTTTTTAGTTTAACTTGCTAAATTTGGTTCCTCTTTAATGGCTCAGTTCACACTTGGTTGGGTGGTTTAATGTTGCAAAATGGGCAGGCGAACATCATCTATTAATTTCAATGACTTCCTCTGGAGGGTCCCACATCATAGGGAGAGCAGTCAAGCCATGGGCAGACAACTGCCCAATACACACTGCACTGGTTATGCATCCAATACGGTTTCAACAAAGCTTAATTGCACTGCATGTCTTTTCTTTAGGCAATGGCTACATGGGGGATTTAATCTGTTTCCCATCGGGAGATTTAACCACTTGTGGGTAGCCACGTCATTTACAGCACTCTAAAATCAATGTAATGCTAATGAGAAGATTGTGAGCAAATACATTTCTCAGTAGTAGGGATAAGCAAATTGATTCTCAAATAAGGCACATAGACAAATCATACATTTACGTTTTGCCTGCATATTACTATGCAGATGTATTTGATCTGCAGGAACTTAGTCAATTGTACAATTGCTTCCAGTCAATTACCTTCTCTCTATAGCAAAGGTTTTAATTGTCTTTGTAGCCCCAGGCTTAACTATTTCACAATCTGCCCACAATAATCAATACATTTTAAATAATATAGATTCTAATAATCTCCTTTTTCTAATGTACAGGGAGGGAGCATGCAAGCAGCTTTCTGATTGCATGTAAATTGAATAGCCTGTAACGGTTGACCCTAATAGAGCACAGCTATTCCTGAACAAAACAACGTAAGAGAGAATTACAAGGTGTGCGGGTATATTTATAATCCATTTTTCTGCTAAACAGTTTCATATGATTTCATTTTTGTGATATGAAAGATCAGAGCCTGTTGACTTTGCAAAATGAATCTTAAAGCTGAACTCCTTGAAAAGTAAAGATCATTGCTAGCAGTGGGGCTGATCCAGAACTACAAGGGTTAAATGTTTATTTAGGTCTAGGGGGATGCAGAAAGTAGTTTTACTAAAGGTGGCCATACACAAGTAGAATTTTGTTCAAAATGTTTAATTTTATGAAACATTCATTTGAATTTATAATCATTAGCGAGATGTTCATTTTCCACCACAGTTACAACAAAATTGAAAGAGCAGGAATAAAAACTTTTCTCCAACAAATGAATTTCCAACAATGAATGTGGTTTTCATTTGGGAAGTTATATTCATTCAAAAATTAAAGTACTTTGAAACGACATTCATCAAGTCATTGAATGTACTGGGAATTTTTGTGTCAAAAATCTACTGGTGTATTGCCAGCTTTACTTAATCATCTACTCCCTGCAGGTTCTTTTCCTCTACACTCCAGGAGTCACAGGCCTCTGATATCATCAAATTCAATGCAAAGCCCATAGCCCCGGAGGGATAGTCCAAAGCTGGAGCATTGAGATGAGAGTACAAAAGAGGTCTGGCTGCTGGTGGAGCGGAGGATCAGGTAAAAGTGCTTTTTATGGCCCCTTAGACCTAGCCTATGGAGGATGGGGGGTAGCTCCACTGCAAGGGAGCATTTTTCTTTTCCCTGGAGATAGGCATTAACTAACCTTAGTAAATAAGTTGAAGCTGTGTTAATATCAATCAGCTACGTGAGTACTGGAAAAATCCTGTTTTATGTTCCCTTGCCCTGGCAGTAGACACTCCCTTGGCGTCCTTGTGTCCAATGCAGTTCTATGAGCTCTGCACTGGACCTGATGAAGTCAGGGTAAATGCAATTGTTGAAGCATAGGGTATTCAAAGTGAACGTAGCTTCGCCTAATTTACTAGCAATTCCTTAGCAAATTGAACAGTTTCTACTCATTAAAGAGGATCTTCACTCCCCCCTTCCAAAAGAATTTTAGCTACAAATAGCGTAGTTGCTGACTTTTAATAAAAGGAAACCTACCTGTCAAGGTATCCAGCATTGTCCTCATCCGGTGTCGGTAGGTTTAATTTGAGAATCCATCTGTGACTCCTTGTGGTTCTCAGCAGGCTTCCCACTGTGCATGCAGACACCTAACTGCTCTTTGTGAATGGTCCCACAGCCTTCTGGGACCTGTGATCTGTGCAAGAAGGCTGCTGCAAAGGGGGGGGGACTTCTGCTTGGATCGCCTACGGGATCCGAGTGGAAATGGGAGCAGGTTCCTATCAAAACTAGGTACCCCCTACCCCCAAAAAAGTGTGCAAAAGTGGAAGAGGAGGAGGTGGGAAAGTGGAACTTTCCCTTTTAGGTTAAATTCTGCTTTAAGTAAAAAAAACCCCAATCATTCTTATGAGCACCCACCACCATTTACATATGTGTACAAGGCCATCAATTAAACTGTCATAGTTGGTCATCATAGATTCTGTTAAAAAAAAAAAAATCCTGTTTCATGTTCCCTTGCCCTGGCAGTAGACACTCCCTTGACGTCCTCATGTCCAATGCAGTGATATGAGGTCTGCACTGGACCTGATGAAGTCAGGGTAAATGCGATTGTTGGGTATTCAAAGTGAATGTAGCTTCACCTAATTTACTAGCATTTCCTTAGCAAAGTGAACAGTTTCTACTCATTAAAGAGGATCTTCACCCCCACCCCCAAAAGAATTTTAACTACAAATAGCGTAGTTGCTGACTTTTAATAAAAGGACACCTATCTGTGAAGGTATCCAGCGTTGTCCTCACCCAGGCAGGCTCTTTGATGGTCTTCAGGACTCCGGTGTCGGTAGGTTTACTTTGAGAATCTATCTGTGACTCCTTGAGGTTCTCAGCCAGATTCCCACTGCGCATGCACAAGCCTAACTGCTCTTTGTGAAGCCTTCTGGGACCTGTGACCTGTTCAAGAAGGCTGCAGTAAAGGGGAGGGGAACATCTGCATGGATCGCCTACGGGATCTGAGTGGAAGTGGGAGCAGGTACCTATCAAAACTAGGTACCCTCTCCCCCCAAAAAAGTGTCCTAAAATGGAAGAGGAGGAGGTGGAAAAGTGGAACTTTCCCTTTTAGGTTAAATTCTGCTTTAAGTAAATAAACCCCAATAATTCTTATGTGAACCCACCTCCATTTACATATGTGTACAAGGCCATCAGATAAACTGTCATAGTTGGTCACCACAGATTCTGTTAAAAAAAAAAACGTTACCACCTCAGACACATCCCCAAACATGTTTCCACAAAAAAATATTAAAAATGTTCGGTTTGTATGATTGTACTGTCATCGTCTGGCAGGAATTTGCAGACGAGTGCTGACAGGTTGTGATAAGGATAGGATGGGGTGAAGGAATAACCTTCATCATCTGCTGTTATGGCCCTTAAGGGAATAGCAGGTCAGGACAGCGTATCTATAGATGAAAACCCAGGAGCGCCAGAGCAAGTCTGTGCAGTGTCTGAAAAGGTTATCTAGATGTAATCCTGGTGAAAAGTTTGGATGTCAACCAACGTGATCATGAGCATGAATAGGCTGCTTTCACCCAGCACATGCCCTGAGATCACAATGCTCAAATTAATACATCCAAACCTCTTAGTGAACTCCGCTTTGGTTCGCTGTCACAGCAATCTATACCCAGGAATGTGATGTTGGACCTGCAGCTATTTTTCTGGCTGATCTTTACCAGCTATCTGCTATTGTTCCATCGTTTTTAGGCTCTGAAATGGACAGGTGATTATTGTTTAATAATAGAGCTTTCCAGGTAGCCAGATACAGACACAAGTGTACAGTATTTATTACCAACATTCTCAAAGCTATCCAATTATTTTCACCCGATCCTATCAGAAGACATTCCCATTCTCTTGTAATATAAACCCTAACACACTGGCATTTAGTTTGTTAAAGCACTGTGTACCATAAATGAGTGTCTATTTGTTTAATAAAATACTGATCTCCTGCAGCTGCTTTTCACCCACTTCATGTCTACATGCACTGCACTGATGGTTGCATGGCATTGCTCAGGGCTGGTTTCCTGATGGTGACAACAGTGAGCCATGTCTGCATAATTTGTTTGGGAATGTGTCACTTATGGACACCACAGGAAGCCTGCAGGAGAGCTTTGGGAGAAAGGGACAGATTTTTGTCACCTTTTAACACCAAGTGCTTGAACATGGATTTTTAATGTCAGTGTTATTTTAATAAAATCTGCAATTTTAGAAATACTGAAAGTTACTTTAAAAAAAAACCAAAAACATTAAAGTGTTACTAAACCCATGACTCTGCATTCACTATATCTGGTCTCCCACAGTACACACAACATGGAAATGCAATTCCTTTAGTAAATATAAACTGCTAAATATCTTTTCTTATCAGCAGTTAGAGCAGTCTTGTGACTTCTATCAGTGTTCAGCAGAGCACTGGTTAAAGTTTGTACACAATGCAGAGGATTAACCCCTTAGGTTTCACAGTGAGTGTAACAAGCATGCTTTACTGCATATACAGGCTGATTTTACTGTTGTAGGTTTAGTAACACTTTAACATGGTAAAGTACATGTGAACCCTTACCTTGTAAAACAACCCATTCAGTTTCAAATATAAATGCAAGTGTGTGTGTATATAAATATATATATATATATATACACACAGCTGTGCTCAAACGTTTGCATACCCTGGCAGAAATTTTAAAAAATGCTCTTTTATTGAAGGATGAGGATCTTATGTACCTTAGATTGTACGCCACTTGAGGGTTAGGGGCTGATGTGAATGTACAATATATATGTAAAGCGCTGCGTAAATTGATGGCGCCATTTCCTGAGTACATTGTCATATAAGATACCTGAAAATCAAGTATTTGCACAAAAAAAGGTATGGTTTTTGCCACATTTTATTCAAATATAAATAGTTGTTTGGGTCCAAAAAGTTTTTAACCCAGATCACACCCATAAAACATGATAACAGAACCATCACACCAAATGGCCATAGCTTCCTTTGGATCAAAAGTTTTACATAAGATCCCTGGAATGTCTTGGGCCACTTCAGGTACAGACACAAAGACAATCTTGGACGCACCCAGCACACTGGGTTAAAATGCCAATTTCAGAGGTGCACAGACAGGCAGCAATGAACCCTCTCCTATTTTATCTGCCTATCTGTAGGCCTTTTTTTTGCGGTGAACATTGCTTTAAAAAGCTTAGTGTCAGTGAAGGCTTTTTGGCTTTGTAAACATTTTGTCAGTCTTGCTTTTTTATGAGTTGTCTAGCTCTTTTCATTTAAATTTCGTGGAAATAGCACACTATCAAGATGCTGACTAGGCTAGATACCACCATCCGAGCCATGGGGATCAGAAAAGATAATGTTGCTGTCAAAAATCTAGTTCCTGTGTAATAACCTTAGTAATGGAACTTTATAAGATGGAAAAGGACGTAAAAAGATGTCCAAAAGTCTGTTGTCCAAAGTGTGTGGCAACGTGCAAAGGTAAGATGAACTCTCCTTTTTAATCTGCTTTCAGGTGTGATATGCCAAGTCAGTACTGTTAAAAAAACATGTGTTATCACCTATTAAGGGTTGCCAGAAGTGGAAACTTCAGGGATGTACTGGTTTTTTTTGTTTGTTTTTTTAAGTAGCTGGTTGCCACCAGACCAGCAGCAAAAATACAAGGTAGATCTTCCAATGGGGACACTTGTTCCCATGACAACTGTCTAAAGAGGGATATTACTCACATTGGAAAGATATTCTTTCACTTTCTGTTGCATCTACAGGGTAGAAAGTGAAGAGGAATCTCCCTATTGAGACATAGAAGGCAAAAAAAAAAACACTTTAGATTTGTTTTACCCTACTACATACATTAATAAATATGAAATTAATTAAAACACATAATATACATAAAAACTTCCCTTCCCTTTACTGTCCTTTAATATTGGATCTTTAACCCCACTGTGGCCCTTCAACTGGGTCTTTAGGTGGGGGATAGGATGAACATCTCGATTACATGTTTTAGAACTATACTATGCAAAATGTTTTTTTTTACAGAAATTTTTCTGCTTTAGCTCTCTGCTGAGACATGTTCCTCCAAATCTTTCTTACTGTAGCTCTACTTAGCATATTTTTTATGTGCCGCAATGTTAGATCACACTGTTTGTCATTTCCAGGGAAACCACAGACTACTAAATACACAAAACAGACTTTTTCTTTTATCTTCCATCTTATTTGTCTTTTCTTGTTGTGCTTCCTGTATTAATTATAATGTTAGTTTTGGGTTTTTTTTTTTTTTTGCATTTAAAGGACACCGTTAAAGTAGAACTAAACCCTCCTATCCTTTTTAGCCAAGGAAGCTGGCATCTTGGCCTCTGTTAGATCTGCAAGTGCCATGATGTGCTCAGTTATGATACCAGCCATTTGATGGTTTGACAGTTTGGTTGAGAACACAAGCAAACGTGGCAGTTAGCATTCTCAACATGCCCGGGAATGTCTGTTTTTTTTAAACCATTAAATTGATGGGTTTAGTTCCGGTTTAATTCAAACTAAGTATATGATGAAGCATTAATAAGCAACATAAGCATCTGAAGCTATATGCAAACACTGACTCTCCTGTAAAAGTAAAACTTGGCCCCACACCCTTCCAACACCTGAACTTCCCTCTGGGTCCTTTACTGTAGAACTCACAGACCAGTAAAAAGGCTTAAGAGGTAGCAGGAGGTGGGATCAAGCCATTTTTTATATATGAAATGCCAAGATTCGTATATAACATCAGCTGTCTAAATGTCTTGATACCCTACTTACAATAAATTCAAAATGCTCATGTTAAATCTACAAACATGGTCATTATTCTGAACACCTACATTTCATTGGTCAGAGATCGAATGACCTTGTCCAAATTCAATAGATTTTCTAGAGTTCCATTTAATATATAAATGGGCGGACTGTCAGTTTTCTCAATATCTTACTGTCCAAAATGTCTGGCACTGAACTGCTTAGATCAGGGGTTCTCAACCTTTTAAAACATGGGGCCAGTTCACTGTCCCTTAGACCATTGGAGGGCTGGACTATAGTTTAAAAAAAAAAACTATGAACAAATGTGGACACAGTACAGGAGATGACCAGAGACTGTGGACATAGTACATGAGATGACCAGAGACTGCGGACATAGTACAGCAGCAGATGACCCAGAGACTGTGGGACATAGTACAGGAGATGACCAGAGACTGCGGACACAGTACAGGAGACTGCATGGACCAGAGACTGCGTACAGACACAGTACATGATATGACCAGAGACTGCGGACATAGTACAGGAGATGACCAGAGAGATGACTGAGACTGCGGACACAGTACAGGAGATGACCAGAGACTGCGGACACAGTACAGGAGATGATCAGAGACTGCGGACACAGTACAGGAGATGACCAGAGACTGCAGACATAGTACAGGAGATGACCAGAGACTGCAAACATAGTACAGGAGATGACCAGAGACTGTGGACACAGTACAGGAGATGACCAGAGACTGCGGACACAGTACAGGAGATGACCAGAGACTGCGGACATAGTACAGGAGATGACCAGAGACTGCAAACATAGTACAGGAGATGACCAGAGACTGTGGACATAGTACAAGAGATGACCAGAGACTGCGGACATACAACGGCGGCGGGAATACTGGGCCGGCAGCTCCATAAGACGCACAGACATTTCCCCCCAAGTGTGTCTTATGAAACGACATATACGGTAAATGCAGGACTCCTTGTTGGGTCATATCTGTGTACAATGTAAAGAGAGAGAGGGGGGGGAGATAAGGAGGGGAGAGAGAGAGAGAGGGAGGGGGGTAGAGAGAGAATAGGGGGGAGGGAGAGGAGGGGGGAGAGAGAGGAGGCGGGATGGGGGGAGAGAGAGGGGGGAGGGAGAGGAGGGGGGAAGGGGGGGAGAGCGGGGGGGGGAGAGAGAGGAGGGGTAGAGAGAGAGAGAGGAAGGGGGGAGAGAGAGAGAGGAGGGGGGGAGAGAGAGGAGGGGGGGGGGAGAGAGAGGAGAGGGGGGAAAGAGAGAGGGAGGAGATCGATCATCTATTGCACTTATCTAGGGTCCGTGACCGTGATACCCGACATGCAGCGATGGAGTCTCCTCTCTTGCTCCCCCTCTTCATGGTCAGCTCTAGGCTCCGCCGTGACAGTTGCATGCACTGATCAGAATAGATGGTCTGCTGGCTGCAGAAAGGCCAGGTGAGTGGTGAGGGTTCATAAGCCGAGCCCACCTTCCCCTGTTCTAGAATTGCTGATCCCGCCCTCCTGCCTGAGCCCTGCTGAGCTCTCCCGTCCTGCCAAACCCTAGTCCCTTGCCTTGCGGCAGATACGCCCCGCCCCTGCCCGGCGGGCCGGATAAATGTCCTCAGAGGGCCGCATGTGGCCCGCAGGCCGTAGTTTGAGGATCCCTGGCTTAGATGATTCACAGGCAATAGTCAAAGAGGGGTCCCACTTCAGCACTCATCTTCTGTGATGGCTGTGCCCAGAGTAATCTCGATCATAATTTCGGTGGCTCACCCTTTCATGGGAGAGGGAACGTTCCCTCTGTCGCTCATGGTAGTAGTGGCTTTTCTTCTAATTCTGAGTTTCTGGAATTTCACGTGATCAGCTATAGGAAGGAGAGGAACTTCTGCTATGAGATCTCTTATGTGTGGTGTATTTGTAGTCAGCACTCTTTCCATACACATGTCCTTTAGAGCTCTTGTGCGAGCTATAATTATGTTTTCATAGATTGTTTTGTTATGTGGTTTTACCTACTTATATGGACCATAAGTAATGTTACATCACCACATTAGAAAAAGTAATTACATTGTCAAATTAGAGTATTGTGCTGTGTATACACAAATATATGCTTCTCATTGTGCTTTGTATATTACATTTTAGGCTCTTTATAGAGCTGTGAAGATTGGAACACGTGTTCTGTATTGTGCAGTGTGGATCAGATTGTAAGCTTTGCATTGTGCTTTATGTTTTTGAACATGAGCCCAGTATTGTGCTGTGTATTTTAGAACAAGAACATCACATTGTGGTGTGCATTATGTAATTTAATACCATTGTTAACATTAGATATTTCATACAGAAGGTTGCAGCAATTCTAGGGACAATGAGCACTCAATAGGTTTTTCAAAGTCAACTTTTGCATGAGACAAAGTGTAATGAAAGCCCAGCAGGTTTCTTTACTAAGAAAAAGAAAGATGTTACCTTTAACTATTCAGAAGAGAGCATTCATGTGCATTACATACACTGAAAAATAATCAAAACTTAAAATCTACATTTCAGCCTTTTTCAGTACTGTA